AACTGCCTCGGCCTCCCAAAGTGCTGGGATTACAGGCATGAGCCACCGCACCTGGTTACAACTTGTTTTAAAAATAAAACTTTGTGACATTTAGATTTTCTCAAAATAAGAGATTATCTTTGTATCTTAATTTTTTTAAGAGACAGCAGCTTACTATGTTGCCCAGGCTGGACTTGAACTCCTGGGCTCAAGTGAATTCCTGGGCTGCCTCAGCCTCTGAAGAAGCTGGGATTACAGGTGTGAGCCACTGTGCATAGCTATCTTTGCCCGTATATTCTTAAATGTACTTTGCTAATAAGATTATATTTGAGTATATGGGGTTTGTCCGTTGACCATTAGAAGTATACCACCTTGGCTGGGTGCAGTGGCTCACGCCTATAATCCCAGCACTTTGGGAGGCCGAGACAGGTGGATCACGAGGTCAGGAGATTGAGAACATCCTGGTCAACATGGTGAAACTACATCTCTACTGAAAAATGCAAAAATTAGCTGGGCATGGTGGCATGCACCTGTAGTCCCAGCTATTCGGGAGGCTGAGGCAGGAGAATTGCTTGAACCCAGGAGGCGGAGGTTGCGGTGAGCCGAGATCACACCATTTGCACTCCAGCCTGGGTAACAAGAGTGAAACTCCGTCTCAAAAAAAAAAAAGTAGTATACCACCTTATAGATCCTTTGGGATATAATAGAAATTTATACAAATTCCTACTAATTTATATGAATTCCTGTTTATGGCTTGAATTAATGTGCTGTCATTTTGATTTTATTGAGGGAAATAAAATTAATATATGATAACTCTGCAAAGTTATAATAAAACCCAGCCACCAAACATCTCAGAATGAATACTTCTGAATATATCATCCCCTTCCAAGTTGTTTTAAAGTGGTATTTTTTCTGAGCCATTGCTCAAAGTGTTTTAAGAATTCTTATTTTGGAATTGCCATTATTCTTCATGGTGCCAAATTTGGTTCCTTGAGGGTGGTTGTTGCTTCTAGAAAGTCAAGAGTTGTTTAGAACCATTTCTGATAAATACAAAGCCAATTAATGAACTTCTTCTTTCTCTTCTTTTTCCCCTTTTTCCCGAATAGCTGGGACTACAGGTGTACGCCACCATGCCCAGCTTTTTTTCTTACTCTGTCCCTCAGGCTATAGTGCAGTAATATGATCGTGGCTCACTGCAGCCTCAACCTCCTGGGCTCACATGATCTTCCCACTTCAGACGCTGGAACCACAGACACACCACCATACCTGGCTAATGTTTTAATTTATTGTAGAGACCAGGTTTCACCATGTTGCCCAGGCTGGTCTTGAACTCCTGGGCTCCAGTGAACCTCCCACCTTGGCCTTCCCAAATGCTGGAATTACAGGCATGAGCCACCATGTCTGGCTTTGAACTTCATTTTTCATCTGTGACTGTTTCCACTCACCCCTTTAAAAAAAAAGTTTTGTTTTTTTTTAAAAAACTGGCTTTTGTATATCATGGAGGCATCCTGCTCTAACTTTATGTCACAGAAAATAGCAGATGTCTACAGAACTAAACTGTAAGGAGCCCTCTCTACCTGCTAAACTGTAAGGAGCCCTCTCTACCTGCTAAACTGTAAGGAGCCCTCTCTACCTGTTCATTTTATTGCATCTCTGTGTGGGCAGCGTTTGGAAAGAATGATCCTAGCATCCATGCTGCCTGCATGTGTCAACCTGGCATCATGGAAACTTCTCATCTGTCACTGGCTATTGTTACAATTGTAGAAGGCCTAGGTGCCTCCAGCTGTTCCATTGTTTCAGCCTTTCTTATACCACAACCTTCTTCCCTGGATGTGGGTGAGGAGAGCTATGTTATTCTCTCCTCCACTCCATCTCCTCTGACAATACGATGAAGAAGATATTAATAGTTTATAACAGGCTTAACATGACCTTCTTAACTATCTCAAAGCTACACAGTTTTCTACGACTCGTATTGAGTTGTCTGTGTATACATTATTTTGAATAGTCACAAAAATAGGACTTTTCCCAAGTTTATTCGTATGCTGATTACTAATCACAATGATTACTTATCACCAACGTTTTAAAATTACATGTAGAAGGAAAAGGCAGTACAACCTTATAAATATTTTTATTCTTCAAAAATCTTTAAATGAGCTTCCTTGAAAGCCATGTTTTTTGTTTTGTTTTGTCTTGAGACAGTGTTTCACTCTTGCTGCCCAGGCTGGAGTGCAGTGGCGCCATCTTGGCTCACCACCACCTCCACCTTCCGGGTTCAAGCAATTCTCCTGCCTCAGCCTCCCAAGTAGCTGGGATTACAGGCATGCGCCACCACGCCTGGCTAATTTTGTATTTTTAGTAGAGATGGAGTTTTCTCTGTGTTGGTCAGACTGATCTCAAACTCCCGACCTCAGGTGATCTACCCAACTAGGCCTCTCAAAGTGCTGGGATTATAGGCGTGAGCCACCGCGCCCGGTGAAAGCCATGCTTTTGTTGTATTCTTTCACCTAATTCTTAAGCCTTAAGAGGCAAAAAATCTGGCATATACCCAAATAGTAGCACATAGATCAGTTAATCTTTGTTTAACTTTTTTTTTTTTTTTTTTTTTTTTTTGAGACGGAGTTTCGCTCTTATTACCCAGGCTGGAGTGCAATGGCACGATCTCGGCTCACCGCAACCTCCGCATCCTGGGTTCAGGCAATTCTGCCTCAGCCTCCTGAGTAGCTGGGATTACAGGCACGCGCCACCATGCCCAGCTAATTTTTTTTGTATTTTTAGTAGAGACGGGGTTTCATCATGTTGACCAGGATAGTCTCGATCTCTTGATCTCGTGATCCACCCGCCTCAGCCTCCCAAAGTGCTGGGATTACAGGCGTGAGCCACCGCGCCCGGCTGTTTAACTTTTTAAAACTGCTTGGCCATTTTCAGTGATAATATCCTATTTAGCTAACAAAGTTTTTGTCTCCATGGTTAAAATTTCACTTCTTATTCAATGCGTATGATACATTTTCATGAAATATAGAAGTGCTGTATTTTCCTCTTTTGATTGGAATTTAGTTCAGACAATTTTTATAGGATTTGATAACTTTAAGAAATGTTTTTCTTGCACTTAGCTTTGAGAGAGCATGTATTTTGTAATGTCTCATTGGAGTGACAAACTAACTCTGGACCATACGTTCTCAATGTTGAAGCGTTGGTGGGAGAAATGTTTCATCACTCAAATCCATCTGTCTTTTCTAGGAAGCTATAGTTCTTGCTGTAGATACGCAAATTTTGAATATAAATTAGGAAACTTTGAGAACTTACTTTAAGTACTGGACCTGAACACTAAGTAAATATTAAATGCTGTCTTTTAACTATGATAATACTATGCTTAGACAATATTTTTAAATGGATATTTACAACAGTATTATTTTGCTAGTAAACCCAAGAAAGACAAAAAGTATCTTTCCCCGGAGAAACGAGGTTTAAGCAGAGCTTTGCTGGGTGGTTGATGTTGTTGTTTGTTTGTTTCTTTACTGAAACTGCAGTGAGCTCAATTCCTTCCAGTGCTTCAATCATTTTCTAATAATGAGAATTGCACTTAAAGACATTCAGTGAATGTTTCAGGCGTGATACATTCAGAGGATGGAGCTATTCTGCTTACTGGAAATGTTTGCAGTGGTGTGCTGCAGTCAGCTCCTATAGCTTGCTAGAGCCTATTACATTTTCAGGCTGGGCATGGTGGCTCATGCCGTAATCCCAACACTTTGGGAGGCTGAGGCAGGTGGATTACTTGAGGTCAGGAGTTCAAGACCAGCCTGGCCACCATGGTGAAACCCCATGTCTATTAAGAATATAAAATTAGCCAGGCATGGTGGTGCATGCCCATAATCCCAGCTACTTGGGAGGCTGAGGTACAAGAATCGCTTGAACTGGGGAGGCGGAAGTTATAGTGAGCCGAGATTGCGGCACTGCACTCCAGCCTGGGGCTACTGAGTAAGAGTCTGCCTAAAAAAAAAAAAATTCAGTATCTTTGTGAGCTGGTTGTAAAACAGCTATTATTAAAAATTGTGTGTGAGGCTGGGCGCGGTGGCTCAAGCCTGTAATCCCAGCACTTTGGGAGGCCAAGTCGGGTGGATCATGAGGTCGAGATCGAGACCATCCTGGTCAACATGGTGAAACCCCGTCTCTACTAAAAATACAAAAAATTAGCCGGGCATAGTGGCGCGTGCCTGTAATCCCAGCTACTCAGGAGGCTGAGGCAGGAGAATTGCCTGAACCCAGGAGGCAGAGGTTGCGATGAGCCTGAATCGCGCCATTGCACTCCAGCCTGGGTAACAAGAGCGAAACTGCGTATCAAAAAAAAAAAAAAATTATATATGTAGGTGTGTATATATATATATATATATATATATATATATATATATACATGCATCTGTGTATATACACATGCATATATATGCATATATACACCTACATACACAATATATTTACACATTAAAAACATTCATACTCAAAACTCATAATGTCCAAGTATTCTGTGCTCTGTGGGTACTGGCATCTGTTTTGTCTGTATGCTACGTGTCTCTTTCCAACTCTGCTCAGTGAAGTCACGTTGGTAGCTTGAAACTGGCCATAGTGGAAGTATTTACATCATGAGAGTTATCAAACACTACACATCAGGGCTTTTAAATTGTTTTTCCCTGAGGACTGTAGATATTTATCAGCACACCACTGATTTTAGGCTAAATGAGCTATCTATGGAAAAGGCAGTGAGCTTTTGCCTTTGATAAAAACCTGTCTAAAATGCATTAGGACACTTTTCTACCTTAAATGTTTAGAGCATGCTGAATACCTTGTTCTAAGTGCTGAGGAAGATCTTTAATACTTGAGATTGCTATAATGCTCAGAATAATTATCGTAAACATTACAAGATTACCTCTTATGGCATGTTAAAAGTATACCATTTCCAGGTCAGTTTTATGTAAGATGGCAAATTATGAATTCTTTATGTAAGCTTGAAATATTTTGTTTTACTGCAGCTGCCACTGGTGACATGCCAACTTACCAGATCCGAGCTCCTACTACTGGTTTGCCACAGGGAGTGGTGATGGCTGCGTCGCCCGGAAGTTTGCACAGTCCCCAGCAGCTGGCAGAAGAAGCAACACGCAAACGAGAGCTGAGGCTAATGAAGAACAGGTGAGACGTTTCACAGGCAATTGGTAACTTCTAGGACACTTTTTAAAAATGACAGTTTTCATAAACTGTAAATGTTCATAAAAAGTGTTTCTCACGTAATGTGGCATTTCATGTAGGTTCGTGCTCTGTATGTGTGTGTTATTAGATTGTCTTCTAGTCAGAGTTCCTGGTCATTCAACAATTTCATCATCAGAAGTTACATCCCTATGTTGTAAGGGTAATAGTCAAAAGATACAGTAAGTTTTACAATTAATGACGAAAGGGCTATTTTGTATTTTGTATTTACTTTGTGAAGTAGGTGATGAATATAATTTTTTAGCTTCTCTATGAGCAAAATTAAGTGTAAGTTAAGCATTTGTTTTCTATATTTTCTACATGTAGTTTCCTTTCATCTATTTTGTAACTTTTCCCCCTCTGTTACACTGCAATACATGTTTAATCTGATAAATTCTAGTCAAGTGCAAATGTAAAATAACAAAAAGAATTAAAATCGCCCATGGCTCTAACCACATAATGACACCTCCTGTTACAGTGTAAGTACTTCCAGCCTGCTCTCCTTTTCTCTCACTTTATCTTGCTCCATATCTCTGTAATTTTATTTTTTAAACAACATAGAAAATGCTATTTTCCAAACTTTTAAAAAAATTTAAACAGAAATTCAATTTTATTTTATCTAACTTGTATATTATTTCTTGGTTTCATTTTTTTATCATGGATTATGGTGCCAATTAATCCAATTTTCAAAAGGAACAGAATTGTCTTGGAGTTTCCCAGTAGTCTTGTCACCTTATCCCTGTGTCAAATAATGTCCTCACTGTGTGCAGCCAGGACAGAGGCTCGGCAGTGTCATCGAGGGTCCTCGCTCCCTGCTGCGTCATTTCAGCATGTGCCATTCATTCTTATGGTCACAGCCCAGCGGCTGAACCTCCAGGCATTGCCTCAGACAGGAAGAAGGAGGAAGGGCTAGAGCCAAAAACTGGGGCTGGTTGAGGTCTAGCCCAACTGCAAAGCTTTCCTGGAAGACCCGGCAACTTTCACCTACATGCCATTGGTTAGAAATAGGTCTCTAGTCCCCAGCTGTAAAGGATTCTGTGAAAGGTTTGTTTTCGCTTTCTAAATCTGTTTCAGAGCAGGACAAGAGAAAAACAGATGATACGTGGCTGTTAGGTTGCTCATTATCTGTTTAGCAGGTTTTAAATGCTTTATTTCTACTGTGTCTTTAATACTTACAGGCGAATAGGTCATTATTATCCCCAGTTTACTCAGGAGGACCAGAGGTTCGGAGAGGTTAAGGAATCAGTTGGTCAAGATCACGTGGCCCAAACTGGGCAGAACCAGGATGGGCAGCCAGGCAGTCTTTATTCCAGAGACCGTTTTCTATACTAGCATCTGGCATCTCGAAAGTACCCCATTATGACCTGCAGATTTCACTTTGTGGGAAAGTATGTAGGCTTTAGTAATTCACAGAAAGATCTCTTACATATTCTCTTTGTATTCGTTGGTTGGCATCTATAATCCATCTTTCATGACACCGTATTTCTGCCAATCCAGCAGCAGTTTTTATTTCTTTCCATCCTTGTCAGAGTTTCCTCCTTGCCTTGCATTTCCTCCCTATGCTAAGGATATACAGAAACATGCAAGCCTGAAAACTGAGCTCACTATTAATAGAAGAAACAGGTGTTTTCCATGGCTGAGGAGTACTTAGGAATGTACCATCTACTGATATGATTATGAAAAGCTTTGTGCCTGGGACATTTTGACTCTCATAACGTGTGCACGTGTGCACACACACACACTCAAATGTGAAATATGAAGTATGGATATTTATAATAGCTTGGTAAATTAAATTTTAAAGATTAAACACCCACAGCACTGCTATTGGGTCTTTTAAGTTTTTCATTTAATGGTAACCTGATTTGTAAAATGACTATCTTCCTTCTAGGTCTAGAATTTAATATAGTTTAACCATGAAAGCCTTGGTATTCATAAATGAATTTCAGTTTCTTTATGAAAAAGAGTTGAATTATGTTTCCAAAGTTACAAATGTGTGTGTGGATTTATTCTTAACGTTTCCATGTGCATCATTTAAATTAAATTAGTCACTATAACATTCAATTCTTTATTTTTAGTTTTTTTGTTAACCAGCTGAGAAGTCTGAGAACTTTGTGAGTTCACAGGGTGAGTCCATTGCTCCTGGCTAGGAAGCCAGGGTTGATCTTCTGCGGTTCATCTGGATTTCAAGGTTATTCTTTGCTGACTCATGCTTCCACAGTGAAAACACAGATATCCAGTCAATGGGAGTCCGTTATCTTAAAAAAAAAATCATGTATATATCACATGTGGATCAGGATGCTAATTGGCATTACAGAAACTGGTGTTTAGACATTCAGCACTGCTTTTGTTAACATGTGAATGATGATATCTGTTTCAGTGTAGGCTTTTTTGATATGAATGGTGATCTACCTCAAAGGCAGTTATTCTGGAACTGAATCCTCCAAAATGAGGCCAAAGGGTATCTTCTATAGAGGAGTTAAGGGAAGTAGTTACCATCCCTTCACCCTGAAAGAAAGACAAAGAGAAATGTTGGCTATCTTTATTGTTCTGTGGGGTCACGCATGAAAATGATGAACTCATCTATTTGTGTTGTTGCTTTGGCTACTGGTGTGTTCTTTCAGTTTGGGCTTATAGTGCTTTAAAATTCAATATATTGGATATTAAATGCATGTGATTGGAAAACAGTCTTGAAATGTGCCCTAGAGTAACTCAGTAGCTTCTTTATTATAATTATAATTGTGGTGGTCTCGCATTTGTGGGTTTAAATTCCCTGGGTTATTGAGTGTTGTCTTTGTAGCCGTCTTGTTCTTGAATTTTCAGAAGCATCATCCATTCGTTTTGGTTTATAAAAATGCATATCTTTTGTTCATTGTTAACGATTTAGCCATGTTGTGTTTTCTAGCCAATAAACTGTGTCTTGGAGTCACGATTGATCTTGTTTTACTGAGATTTAGTCTGAAGACTAAGAATCTCCAGTGTTGACATTTAAGGTTTTTAAGGACTCTTATAATCATTTTTGATCAAATAAAATTAACTCATTATGTTGGAATATGTGCCTTTTGCAGACAAAAATAAGATAATTGAAAGGGTCTATAAGTGTTTTTGTAGAAATTCCACTCGGGGATGTGGTCCCATTGTAGTTTACCGAAAACAGTTCTGGTTGTTGTTACCAGTGGAATGTGTGCCCTAAGAAAACACCATTTTTGATGAATGCTGGGTGAATTGTGTTCTCAAGTTATTCTTGTTGGCTTATGGTTATCTTACAAAAAGCACGTACCTGGTTATGTTTGTTACGTGGGTTTGTACAGTCCTTGCCTAGGATCGGCTGGCTGTTGAGTTCGGGGGCAGAAGTGCACTGAGCCACTGTGGACGGTGTTGGAAGGCTGTTCCTGTAGTCATTTGCCTTGTGTTGGTTCCAGGGAAGCTGCCCGGGAGTGTCGCAGGAAGAAGAAAGAATATGTCAAATGTCTTGAAAATCGTGTGGCTGTGCTTGAAAACCAAAACAAGACTCTCATTGAGGAACTCAAGGCCCTCAAAGATCTTTATTGCCATAAAGCAGAGTAATTTGTCTTTGACTTGGACCTTGTTTACTGTGAACTCTAATCAAGGCAGGACATGCAGCAGTTCTGCTTACTGCACTGTGGACATGTGGAAGGGACACTTGTGAATCCAGTTCGGATTAGTGTTTGAGATGGAATTGCAGATGTTGTTCCCGGATGTGGAATGCAGCCGTGGTCACACTTGCCTACAGAGCTTACTTTGATCTGTTTGTCAGCAGCATGCAAAAAATGCTTTGTTTGCCCTTTGCTTCTGCTTTTTTCAGGGAAGCTGCCAAAGAATGTCGACGTCGAAAGAAAGAATATGTAAAATGCCTGGAGAGCCGAGTCGCAGTGCTGGAAGTCCAGAACAAGAAGCTTATAGAGGAACTTGAAACCTTGAAAGACATTTGTTCTCCCAAAACAAATTAGTAGAAATATTTAACTATGAACTGAGGACAGCATGTACAGTTGCTTTTGAAGAAATACAATATACAGCTGGCAAGAACGGTGGCTTTTTTTCTTTGTATCATTCGCTTCTCGAATCTCTTAACATTCCTAAAATGCTTCACTGTACATAGTTAAGTCAAAGCTCTAACTTCAAATTTTTTAAAAGACACAAACTGTAAAAAATGTATGTAACAGATTCTTAGAATGCAATATTTGTAAGACTTGTTCCAGTGCCACATATGTGCAGTTCCCATTGTCTGTGGCATGAATAGTGTCCTATGCAGTAAAATTATTTGCAGGTCTTTAAATCATTTTAGGAAAGGATGATCAAAAATAATGCATCCAGCAGTTCAGTAAAAGGAAACCACAAAAAAAATACCTCAGGAAGTGATTGAGAGAAAGTCTATCTAATGACATGCCTGTATGAGAATAGTCTAGATACAAATTTATGGCATTTGCAGATTTTTATATTAGTTACTTTGTAAAAAAAAAAAAAAAAAGATTGTATTCTGTCCTTGAATGCCATAGTCGAAGAGAGTTTTTAATAGAACCATGTTGGTTGCATTTTGTAGTGTTCGGTGCTCATTTAAATATCTGAACATTTACTACAGTTTTTAACTCTATTGTGTAATATAAAGGTCTTGCAGAAGTTCTTAGTGTTGGTTTATTACCTCATGAAAGTGATGACCTATTTTTAATATCTGGAATGAGTCAAGAGCCTGTTGGGATCCCATTGCACACCTTCGGGGACACAAGTCAGTTTCCACACGGTGCTGAGCCCTCTGCCGTCTCACTGGGGGGATGGCCGCAGAGCTGTGCACCCAGAAGAGCGACTGTTAGCGATTCGCCTTCGTGGTACCTGAGACTTTCTGTAGGTGGTCCGGAGTATCTGGCAGGTGGCCCCCTATTTTGCGGTTTAGCAAACAACCAAAGGAATTTTAAAAACAAAAATATCCCTGGATTTTGTTTTTTATTTCAAAATGCCTCAAAGTCCACATTAGATTAGATACCCTGCTGTCAGCACGTTCAGCTGAGGTTCATTACAATCAAGACCACGATGTGATCTACATTCCATCTTGTTTTTCTAATAAAAAGCTTCAGGGAACAAGCCCAAAGCCCTCACCACAGGATGCTCTGTCTGCTCTCACTCCCTGACATGTCTTGACTGCAGCACGCTGGACTCTGCTGTATTTCCTACTGTGACCTCTGCTTTAAGGATGTCCCCACCCCACCCCCCAGGTTCAAGAGCATATCTGGTCAGTGTGTGGTGAGAGATAGAAAAATGGGAGCTGGTTTGTGGCACATCCAGCCACCGCTTCCCCCATTCCGTTGGAATTCTGTCCCTTATCTGTCATTCCCAGCAAGGAGTGCATGTCATTGTTGGCTTTCTTTTAAAATATTTATTCTTCCTTCAGAGTTGGAGCTCTGAATTCCCTCCCTCCCTCCCTCCCTCCCTCGGTTTCTCATCCAGGCTGGAGTGCAGTGGTATGATCTCAACTCACTGCACTGCAGCCTCCACCTCCCAGGTTCAAGAGATTTTCCTGCCTCAGCCTCCTGAGTAGCTGGGATTACAGGCATGTGCCACTACACCCAGCTAATTTTTCTATTTTTAGTAGAGATGAGGTTTCACCATGTTGGCCAGGCTGGGCTCAAACTCCTAGCCTCAAGTGATCCACCCGTCTTGGCCTCCCAAAGTGTTAGGATTACAGGCATGAGCCGCCTCTGCTGGCTGGAATTTCTTTTATCTCAATTTTTGTCATCTCTTCTACAGAGAAGATGGGGAAAGAAGATGAGGAAGAAAAAGGAAAGGAAAACTCCAGGTTTCAGGTGCAGGGCAGGAGCGCCTTGCACTCACTTGTCCACTCTGACAGTCGTTGTGCATCAGCAGTGTGGCTGGGGTGTGTGGACACACAGAGGGGACACAGGTTCAGCAGACAAGATGTATGAAGTTGCAGGTGATGCTTGCTCCATGTTAGAATTCTAGAAAGATGCAGGTGGGGATTAAATAGGAAACTTCATGTGGGAAGTGGATTTTGAACTGGGCCTTGAAATGATTGACAGTGCTGGGGCGTGGGGTGAGTACTTAGGGATTACAGAGCACAGGCACTGTTCCAAGGATCTGGGGTCTGGAGGACGGAGGGAGGCCACGTTGGCGCTCACCCAGGAGTCAGTTTCATTTAAAAAGTGAAGACAATGAATGTGCACGCATACATGTGTGTACTCTAGCTTATAAAATAGGTTCTGTTATTTCAGAGGAAAGGGATTCTATCCAATTACTTGGGACCACCAGCAACAGAAGTCCCCCTTCCCAAACCCAGTGGTTGAAACAAGAAGAAAATATACCACCTTGCGGAACAAGAAGTCCTGTGGTAAGAAATCCCAGGCTCGCTAATTTAGTGACAACAGCGGCATCACAGCCATCCCTCCTCCTTCTTTCCGTCTACCTGGTGCTTCCCCTGACCTTAATATTGCTGCCACAGTCCCAGACATCAGAACTGGAAAAATAGCACCTTTTTTTTGGGGGGGGGGGTACCTTTTTCTTTTAATTTTTTTGAGATGGAGCCTCACTCTGTCGCCCAGGCTGGAGTGCTGTGGTGTGATCTCGGCTCACTGCACCCTCCACCTGCCAGCCCAAAGCCTGGGCTAAAAGGCCTTGGGTTGCTCCTGAGGATTCCGCCCTTAGGGTTGGGAGCTTCCAGGCTCTGGAGAAGCATCTGGCCATCAGTGTCGAATAAAACTGGCCTTCTGGAAGAACGGCATGTGGACAACTGGGGACACCTGGCGCGGGGACTGAGTGAGCGCTTACCCGGTACCAGAAGTGAGGAACAGCTCGAGGGGTTGGGGCTTGAGCCATGCTCCCAGGCAGGCACGGGAACTCGTTCTTGCTCGTGAAATGGATCCCTAAAACCGAGCTTCCGCTACCAAAATAGCGCAATTTGACAGCAGTGCTTTCAGCCTTACAGCAGATTCTGCCTAGGACCTCTCCCGCAGTAGAACCAGCAGTCGGGGGTAGCTTTGCAGGCAGGAACCTTGTGCATGTCGCACACCCGTGCGCCGGAATCCGGAGCCCCCCGCGCACCCGTGCGTGTGGAATCCGGAGCTCTCACTGCATGTGCCTTTCTTTTTAATCCTAAAAGTTTCAGAATCTGGACTGCTGGGTGTAGAAACTAAATTACTGCTCCAGGATTAGGAGACGGCACTACCTTCTCTGTCAAGTGTAACTGGGTATGTCACAGCACTAAGTCAGGTGAAATGGGAAAATTAAGGAATTGCACTCCTGATGATGTATTTAAACGTGTGTGAGCACAAGGCGTGCTGGAACTGAGAATGTGGACATGAGCAATGCACTGTGCGTGAATGGCAGCCGTTTGAGCGCCCGATGCCCCATTCCTTGTTCAACCACACTTGACAGTTTTCTGCATATATGCTTATGTCCAGAACATGCTGTTTCCCACGTCCTGAACAGGACACCTTTAAAAAATATAATGACTTGTGAAACCAACTTGATTGTTCTAGTCTTCACCAAAAATAATCAGGCTGCTTTGACATGTGAGGCAAGCAGAGCTGTTGCCAGTTTGCCGGCCATAATGCAGTGACTGTTGTATGGTGTTTACTGTGGTTCTCAGCAGCTCACATGTGCTTCTGTTTTGTTTTGGTTTTTTTCTTGAGATGGAGTGTCACTCTCTCACTCAGGCTGGAGTGCAGTAGCACAATCTTGTCTCACTGCAACCTCTGCTTCCTTGGTTCAAGTGATTCTCCTGCCTCAGCCTCCCAAGTAGCTGGGACTACAGGTGTGTGCCACGATGGCTGGCTAATTTTTGTATTTTTAGTAGAGACGGGGTTTCGCCATGTTGGCCAGGCTGGTCTCAAACTCCTGACCTCAGGTGATCTGCCCGCCTCGGCCTTCCAAAGTGCTGGGATTACAAGCTTGAGCCACCCCACCCGGTCATGCTTCATCTTTTCTAAGGTCATCTTAAAGACAGACTTGATTCTGAACTGCTCAAGCATGGTAAGTTTTAATCTTTATGCTTTGTGGGTAGGTTTTTTTTTCTATATACATCCATTTTCTTGGCTGGACATGGTGACTCACGTCTGTAATCCCAGCTCTTTGGGAGGCTGAGGTGGACGGATCACAAGGCCAGGAGTTGGAGACCAGTCTAGCCACCATAGTGAAACCCCATCTCTACTAAAAATACAAAGAATTACCTGGATGTGGTTGTGTGTGCCTGTAATCCCAGCTACTTGGGAGGCTGAGGCAGGAGAATTGCACCTCCAGGAGGCGGAGGTTACAGTGAGCCAGGATTGTGTCGTTGCACTCCAGCCTGGGCAATAGTGTGAGACTCTGCACTGTTGCAGAGAAATAAAAATAAAGACCAGCCTGGGCAACATAGTGGGACTCTGTCTCTACCAAAAAAAAAAAAAAAAAA